GAGTACAGCTGAGACATGGTTTTCTTGCGAAAAACAATAAATGAGTACAGCTGAGGCATAGTTTTGTTATGAAACACAATAAATGAGTACAGCTGAGACATGATTTTGTTACGAAAAACAATAAATGAGTACAGCTGAGACATGGTTTTCTTGCGAAAAACAATAAATGAGTACAGCTGAGACATGATTTTGTACGAAAAACAATAAATGAGTACAGCTGAGACATGGTTTTGTTACGAAACACAATAAATGAGTACAGTTGAGACATGGTTTTGTTACGAAACACAATAAATGAGTACAGCTGAGACATGGTTTTGTTAACGAAACACGATAAATGAGTACAGTTGAGACATGGTTTTGTTACAAAACACAATAAATGAGTACAGCTGAGACATGGTTTTGTTACAAAACATAATAAATGAGTAAAACTGATAGAAGGTTTTGTTACGAACCTTGTTCATCCAGTATTCGTTAGGCCTTCCTTGATTGGCTCGCCGCTTGGCAGCAGCCCGACGATAAAAGTAGGAAGAGACGATTCTTTCCACAGGATCTCTTACAACGTTGATGTACAAGGGAGATGTTTCTCCAAACCTGTTATGTATATATCATAACATATTATATACACATTTTAACGCTTATGCAATATAAGGTAAAAATATGTTTTAATTTTATACACATCCTAATGAGTAATAACTCGTTGGAAGTACTTGTACAAGCTAAAATAAATATTACAAATGTTGAATTCAATATCAAAGATACGTTTTACAGTTGACTGTGTTACTTGAAGCAGCAACACTCGCTCGAGTGTAAGTCAATGATATTAATACAGTAGTAGTGGGGTCTTTGTAACAGGAGGATGAAGTTACATTGTTTGTTTGTAGTTAAGCACAAAGCTACACAATGGGCTATCTGTGCTCTGTCCACCACGGGTATCGAAACCCGGTTTCTAGCGTGGAGTTACATGAGCACCGCCTTCCTGACATATTAAATGAAGAAGGCACGAGAAGTCAAAATGTGCCCAATTTTACATTTATTTTTACTAACTCAGTTATACGTTTTCATGTACAGATCTGAGCTAGCATATGTATAACGGATTACTTAAAAAACCTATTACGTAGGCTTCGCGTGTGCAGTACAAAAAAACATTTGGAAAGTACAAGGTATATTCTTTAGGCGTTTCCAGACTGTCTTTTTTGTGAGAATCGTGTTGTTTTTAATGAACGTTGTGTTCATTCAAACTTCTTTAAACACCACAGATGGAGAGGTAATGGATACTTCAAATGTGTGACAAGGCAGGACTCGATTCATTTATAAGGATGGTGAAGAAGTAATTAAGTCAGTAAAATGTATTCATTTTGTATAAATGATTTTTAAAATCATTAGGAAATTGATATATTACAATAATCTTCAAGCTTCTGATGTATTACTTTGCTTAAGAATACAACCAAACAAAATTTGAGATGTCGGGAAATATTTTCCATACACTGACTGGGGAACGTGAAACATCTCTATTATAAAAGAACAGTTTACTTCCCGCTCAACTGGAATTAATGCAAAACCCAAAGTTTTGAAATGGGAAAAAAGCCCCACTCAACACAATTGTTTTTAAGAGTATCATAAGATGTTTTACGATATTCACGAATATGATATAATTTAAAAATTTGGATGTAAAAACAAACCACGAAAATAACCTTGTTTAACTTTCGTCACACACAATGTGCCTACCGCAGGGATCGAATCTCAAACTTTAGCTTTATAATCCCTCAAGCTATTCGCTGAGTCACCTGGGGGAAGAGGGTTTATGCATCGAACAATAAGGCTCCAGCAACTACTACAAGAGAACATCCTAGTAGGAAGAAGGTACAAAGAATGCTTTACCTAACTGTTCTATTAATAACTCAATGAACTTTCCGTTTATTTGAAGTGTGAAACTGAAAATTATAAAACTCTTCGTGAAACATTTGAGAAAAGTATTTAAATACATTTGATACCGGGAAAGGATTGTCGATATAAAGTTTGGGAAATTGTTATGGATTTGATTTACGTGAGAGAATTTTCTTTCTCTTTTTTAAAAATATCAAAAAACAACAAACTGCAGAAGAGCAACAGAAAGAAACTACAAAAGTGCAACAAAAGGCCAACGTCTTGCAGGCCTGACTACGACTTGAGTGCAATGAGTTGGAAAACTTGGTCACAAAACGTTATAGGATGAGGCGATCTCCAAAAGACTTTTAAATTGGTAATAGTGAATCATACCTTTAGATATCATTTATTGTTCATTTCGTTAATAATACTGGCATACTACTTACGATATCGAATTTAATTAAGTGTATTTTTTTAAAAATCTGTCTTAATTATTAAACCTGTATTATAAAGACTGTTTTTCATCGTTAGCTTAGAATTTGGATTTTGGACTAATCTAAATCTCCTAAGCTAGCCGAACCTTATAAGATATTGTTAGGTTTTCAGCCGAAAATATTGTTAACAGCGAGAGTACCCAATTGATGAAATGTAGCATACCAATCTTTGTATGTATATACATAAGAAGACTATACTTAAGTAGTTATACTGATGGCCAGGTTAATTTTTAGTTTCTCCACAATTGAACAGCAGTAACAAGCTGTTGTAAGTTCGAGATACAAACTGTAAACTAAGTCAGGATGTTTACACTTACTGTGAAAAGTTGACAAAAAACACGTGTCTATCAAAACTGCAGGGCGAGGGCATTCTTTTAACTCTCTTTACGAACCTACGCTGGCAAAGAAACGTATCCAAATTCAAATATCGTTATTTTAATAATAAAGATCCATTTTTGATTCGATTACTTCAAGTAGACTCTATGTATGGAGCTTAAGGACATTGATTTAAAATACAATATAAACAATACATATGAAGCTTAAATAAGAAACATACGGGGAATATGGATAAGTTATTATTGAAAGAATTACTAAACTGAATTCATTATTTTGCCCAATTTGTTCATTCACAAGAACAACTTGTAGTTCTTACAGAACATTACCACAGAAAGAAAATAAAGCCTAATACAAGAAATTATTGTATACATATTGCTAAAGGAATAAGAACATTTGCTCATAATATAACATAACATAACAACGTGGGACCTATTGGTCCATCTCGGCTGTTCCATCATCAAAACTAAACTAAAATGATTAAATAATAATAACAAAATTTTAAATCCAACCCTTTTCATTCATATACTTATCAAGCTTTTTCTTAAACTCGCTTAAATTTACTGCCTCTACAACATCTGAAGGCAACCCATTCCAAAGGCCAACCACCCTGTCAGAAAAATAAAACTGTCTTAGCTGAAGATGACTCCTACCCTGCCAAAAATTATACTTGTGTCTCCTAGTCCTACTACATCAGTCATAACACACACACACAAACAAACTATATACACAAAAACTTGAAACCTATTTGTGCAATATCAAATTTTAAAAATAACACCATCTTCCACGAATATACTAATTTTAAAAATAACAAGTAAAAACAACAAATTTACTTTTTAATTCTACCGTCCCATACGTTGATCACTAGTGTTTTCTTTTATCATCTGATCAACGTTTCGATGTCTGTTTTAAGTCTACTTAAAATATTATTGGTCGTTGGTTTTTGTTTTGTTGATTATTTGGTGAAAATAAGGCCAAGCCTATTTCAATAGCGATAAAAAAATTAGTGTATTTCTCCCTTGATATTTGCTACAGGCTACTTTCACTTGTACATATTTGTAGGCCTAAGTTCACAAATAATGTTTTCACTTTCAATAGAGTTTGTTTGCTCAATGACTGACTAACTTAATTGACTACAAACATTGAATATACATGATCACTCACTAACTTCTCTGAATTCTTATTCATTACTCAAATTAATATTTCAATTACAGATTGCCACACTGACTCTACAAACTGCTTACTCTTATTTGTAATTAATTACCACACTCTAGATTTGAGTCAAATTTAATAGATCTTAATCTCATGCGTCCTCTAGCTAACATCTAGTTTAAACATTGAAAATACAGCTTCCAACACTAATACGGGACAGAAGGTATTCATGCTTACCTGTTGAGATTCATCTAGAAGTTTCTTGTTATAAATTTTAGAATTATAATGCTGGTAGCCCAAGTCAACTGAAAGTTTTTGCATTATGCTGTAAATCGTCGTGCTTCCACATTTTGGTGCTCTGTTGTACAATAACTTGTCAACATCAAGCCCACGAAAATCGAAACTGAAGTTAATATTATTAGTGACCACTGAATGGTCGATAGCCAAACACTCTGTTGTCGAGCAGTTGCGCCCTAAAGATAAGAAAATAATGCGCTATTTAATATTCATATATATTCTTAAACAAAGTTTACACTGAGACCAATGACCAATAGGCTTACGAGGTTCATTCAGAAGTGTTATATTAACATAAGTTAACTCAAACAAAAAGTATGTTTATCGAATACTTGTAAAATTGGTCCTCACATCAACTGCTTTATTAAAAAATTTTAGTATGAGCGTTGCACAACTCAGAATTGTTATATTGTCACATATATTGTCGTCGCGACCCCTACCCCCACTATCTCTACAAGGATGAAAAAAAATTATTGATGCTTCTTGGTGTAGTTCGTCATAGTTCATAATAAATGTGATATGTGCACCTCTCAGACACTTCCGGGACTCAAAGAAAAAAAAAAGGTTGATTCAGCGCAGACAGCTCGTGACCCCCTGAAAACCTGCTGGCAACCCCCTTGGAGGTCGCGACCCACCGTTTGAGAAACACTGTGCTGTACTATGAAAAAAGTTAATTTTTACTGTTTAATTATAATGTTCTATCAGTTATTAGGATAGCTCTAGAAATACAACAAAATATTTGAAAAATATCGTTTTGATAAGATCAGGTGCGGCGGTAAGTGTGTATGTGTTTGTGTGCTGGGACTGAAGTTACCCTAGAATGTGCCTTATCCTCTTCCTAACTACTACAGTATGCGTACCTATAAGATGTAAAGTGCACAACCCTCAATTTTGTATCCAGCCAACCTCAGTCCCCCCATCGAGAAAAGACTAGCGATGCCCAATCAGGCTGTTATTTTCTCCTATGTTCTTTTCGTTCGCGTTTTATGTTAACTTTTCAAGGAGTTCCCTCTTCTGAAACGAAAAAAATCCAGCAGAGAAGACAAAACTTTCGACATCTGCCAGACGCATAAATTTCACGAGCTTACGTGGAACTTAGTCACTTGTGTGACTTCCACATGGAACTTCTTTCATCAATATGTGACTAATTTCACGAGCTTACGTGGAACTTAGTCACTTGTGTGACTTCCACATGGAACTTCTTCGAGGTCAAAGGACGGAAATTTCAGGCACTTAACATTCTTTCTTTTGAAATAAGTGTAACGTCTTTGACAATAAGACGAAAGCCAACGTCTTTCTGTTTGCCGTTAATTTTGTAATTTGAGACATAGTTACGAAAATCGCATCAACAATGTGAACAGACCTTCCTCCAGTTCTCACGCGCACGTCAGACTACTATAACACTGATTTCAACAAATGCATTTTCTATAACATATTCCAAACTTTAGTGATAACTTCCTTGCAGATTATTTGCATTAGTTAAGCCTATATTAAGTAGGGCCTCTAATCGATAAATTAACACTGTAACTTGTGTACGTTTTTTTTTCTTTTGAATTAGTTAGAGCTAAACTTTGCCATGCTTAATATTACCAATAAATAAACTTATAATGCTACTCTACGACCTAACGTTAAATCTTTTTAAAAACATTGATAAGCTTTTAATATGTTACTGTAAAAAAAAAAAAAGACCAAAAACTACTAGAATATACGTACATCCGGCATTTATTTTCATCCGTTGAAATGAAGTGCGCGCGCGCATGTGCATTTAGATATTAAGATGTGCGCGCGCATTTTCAGGACATACCAATATCATAATATTGTTATCATAATAGATAGTGAGCATTTTGTTCCTCAAATATTAGTAACGATTCAGGAATTAAAACGCTGGGCCGTCATTTTTCATCTATTTAATGAATTGTTTTATTTTTCTTTAGTCAAAGACAGTGGTCATATCTTTACTTTTCAAGAATTTGAGCATGCTTCTGAAATCTTTCAAACATAACGTACTTGCAGTTGTTTAGGTATCTCAATCTCTTGTTCAACTAAACTGAGATATTTGATTTTATATGCAAATATTTTTTTAGTGTCAAAGGTCAAAGTTAAAACCTTGATTATATTATCATCGATCTTGAAATAGATCACATTACTGTAATAGAAACATGAAGTTTTGAAAATCAAAAGCAATTTTTGTTTTCAAAATAACCGCATTAAATATTATACCAATAAAGGTGAAAGAATCATTAATAAGCTGACAAGATCATTTTCTGGATGGTGATGAAGGAAGAAAACCATGCAGAATTATCAACTATTTCATTTATTGATAAATATACAGTGCGTTTGTTCGTGACGACAAATTATTTTGTGACTACATGGTATACGAGGTCATAATGTAATGCCAGGAAAAACAATGCCAAGATGATTAATTAATTTTGCCTGAGTATGGTAGATTCCACTATAAACCTACACAATTATACGTTTACACTTGCTACCTACATGTTTTAAAGGGGCACAACATAAACTATGGTAGATTCCACTAGAAACCTACACAATTATCCTTTTACACTTGCTACCTACATGTTTTAAAGGGGCACAACATAAATTATCGTTGTTGTTTTTAGCAGTTCGTGTTTGTTTATCCTCGTTAAGGGGCACAACATAAACTATCGTTGGTGTTTTTAGCAGTTCGTGTTTGTTTATCCTCGTTAAGGGGGCACAACATAAACTATCGTTGGTGTTTTTAGCAGTTCGTGTTTGTTTATCCTCGTTAACGGGCACAACATAAACTATCGTTGGTGTTTTTAGCAGTTCGTGTTTGTTTATCCTCGTTAACGGGCACAACATAAACTATCGTTGGTGTTTTTAGCAGTTCGTGTTTGTTTATCCTCGTTAAGGGGGCACAACATAAACTATCGTTGTTGTTTTTAGCAGTTCGTGTTTGTTTATCCTCAAAGTTTTGTTTCAACTGAGAAATAGTATAGAACAAAACGCTCTTTTTTCGGGTATTCAGAGTCAATTAGTAAAAATATACACTAATAGAGCCTGGTTTTTTAGAGTTACGTGGATGCCAGATGCCAGTGTAAGTTCTAGTACCTCGTCAAACACTATTTCTTTTAAAAATACAAGTTGTTCATATAAATTATGAAACAAAACTTTAAGCTGATAATTAAAATGTGCAACATCTAGAATATAAGTAGCACGTTGCACGTTTTTGATTTCAACGGAACATTTTTTACCTTTCCTGTAGTTTCGGATCTCTTAACCAAATCTAGGCTGACTGAGATAGCAAAAATGTAACTGAAACTCGAGCGCATTCCTTCAACTACATAGAGGTGTGGTATGGATTAATAAAAAGAACGTTTAATTCGTACATGTATGTCAGTACTTCCTGATCAGGAACGGCGTGTCTCTATATCTAATAACATTCAGAATTGCTGCGAATGAAGATTAAGTAACTTACATGTTCAATGTTTTCCTGTACCCAGTAGCAGACAACATAGAAACTGAATGAGGCTTCTTGTTCAAATTCTGAATGTTTTTATTATTGATAATTACAACTAACACACGTGACTGGCTCGAAACGTTACAGACAGTCTTTTCGTATTTGTTCGCGGGAAGAAAAAAAAGAGTTATCACACACCAATATACACACACACACACACACACATATTACCAGTGACGATACACCATATACTCTCTACAAGGATGTTTAGTTACATATACAGATTGTACATCATCACCAACTCTACGGATGTTTTCGTTCTAGAATTATGGACTATTTTGTCACAGATTCTGGCTTAATTGCTAAGGTTTTGTTTTGTTGAATATCAAACGAAGCTACTCGAGGGATATTTGCCATAGCTGTCCCTCTTTGAAGTGATAGATTAGAGGGAATGCAGCTAGTCACCACAAACCACCGCCAACTCTTGGGCTACTCTTTACCAACGAATAGTGGGATTGACTATCACATTATGGCGCTCCTAACCACCAGGCCATACCAGATCCATACTTGTCAGGGATTTAAGTCTTTTTTTTTGTCATGGATTTATTTCCTGTGTCCTTGCAAGTTTAATTCTGCCATTGATTTAAGAGTCATTATGTAATGACTTCTGGCATTCTGTCAATGATTCAGATCTATTGTACTAAAGCATTAATCAGAGATTTTTATGGCAAAGATTCAGAGGCCTTTATGTCAGAAAATTGGGGTATATTGATTTCTCAGACTTGGCTATTAAATCTTCTGGATTTTTTTTTTCACATTATTTTTTACTCTATTTCAGACCTTACCAAAAACCAACTTATACTAATAATATTTTGTTTTGGAAACAATCTAGTTCCTTGTTCTTTGTAAGGTGATATATAAGCTTCTTTTCTCACCCACCTGATGTGATTTTTCTGAGATTAAAGGAACCAGTACTAGGATTCTTCATCAAGTTAAGTACTGTGTAGATAAGAAAGAGAGTCGTCACAAGTACCAAGATACATCTGCAAAATGTTGCAAGAAACATGTAGTTTAGTCCTAATGTTACACAACACACATATAGTTTAGTCCTAATGTTACACAACATACATATAGTTTAGACCTAATGTTACACAACATATACATATATATTTATATAATAGTTTATCGGCTTTTTATGCGTTAAGTTTTCTCTAGAAAATTATGCAGCTGGAAGACATTTTCCGGGAATTATAAAATGTGGTAGTGACCTTACTATATTTGTTCTCAAAGTTCTTTATGAAAGTTTTAAAGCTGAAGAAACAATTTCTTCTTCCATAGAATCTGAGGCATAGTTAATTCAACCCTTCTGTGGACCAAACTGTAGTGGATTGACCTTTTTGTGTTTCGCGGAAAACTACTCGAAGCCTATCTAATTTAGAAGTGATAGACTAAAGGGAAGGCAGTTAGTCACCACCACTACCCACCGCCAACTCTTGGGCTATTACTATTTACTAACGAATAATGTGATTAATCATCACATTATAACGCCCACAGCTGAAATTGCGAGCATATTCGGTGATGGTACTCGAACTCGCGACCCACAGGTTGCGACTCGAGTGCCCTACCCTAGGCTCGCGACCCACAGATTGCGACTCGAGCGCCCTACCCTAGGCTTGCGACCCACAGGTTGTGATTCGAGCCCCCTACCCTAGGCTCCTTTAGTAGAAGTTGATGTATAGTTGCTTCGACTCTTCTATCGACCGAATTCTTCTTTAGTATAATTTGTAACTCGATTCTTCTTCTTTGGTAAGAGTCTAATTTCAGTAGAAAATATTCTCACGAGAAGCAAGTTGAACAAAAATGACTAAAAATCATACAAAAAAAAACCCTATTATTTTACCAGTTATGTTTAACTGAATTTTGGTTATAATCCGTAGTAATTTTTTTTACTAAATTTACATCGGAATTAAAAGTTTAGAAGGTTACTTGCACACTTTCAAAGCGAGATGTTTGCTTTAGCAGTTATTTATTAAAGATTATAAGTATTTATTGAGTGCTGTAGTCTGAGGATATATTTTTTTTTACTATGTACAGGCTATAATCACAAGATTGAGGCGTCATCATAATAATGCTTGCTACTTTTGTATTTTTTTTTATAGCGGATACTTAGTTAAGATTAAACGGTTTAAATCCACGTCCAATTACTTACATTGGCCAGAGACGCTGAAAAGATACTGGCACGTGAACCATTTCCTCAACTACGGGGCCCATATACAGTCTCACGTACATTCCATCTTTGACTGCGTGAGAATTACGGGACGAACACCTTTAACTCCCAGTGATAAGATCTGCTCGTGGGTGGTGGATACGAAGATTTTATCTCAACCTGTTAGTTTCTGTCATTTTATAACCTGGTGAAAATTTCATGAATATTATCAAACAACATACTTTGATACGTTTTTAAACCGCGTGTTAGATAAATAGCGCCCCCACACGACATTTTTAGTTAATGACTAATAATTATTATAATTCATACAGCTTGGTGAAGGTTGTGGTGAAAACGTTCTTGACTAAAGAACAGTTTACACACAGCTACGTAGTAACCAACTAGTTATCACAACAAAACTAATAACCTGTTGCTAGGGGGTTATATATATATATATATAGTGGAAACTAAACTACAATTACCAGGATAAGAACGTTTTATCCTATTATGACATGTTTCACGCTATTCATAAGATTTACACTCAGTAAACAAACCAGAACAAAGAACATTTAACCTATTATGACTAGTTTTATACTATTCATAAGATCTACATCATGTAAATAAGTGAACAAAATGGAACAAAGTTAAGAATATTTTATCCTTTTATGACTAGTTTTGTACTACTTACAAAGATCTATGCCAACGTTTCTCAACCTCTTTGATACCAGAGACCTCCTCACTGCTTCCCTAAATGTCGCGGATCACTAAAATCTAATTATAACAAAACACCATTACGATTATAGATAAACATTTTTGTTTGTTTGTTTTCGTGAACTCTCACGGACCGGCAAGATGTTAAATACTTCTGGACAGTTTTGGAACTCCCTGTACCATCCACAAAATTCATGAATAAAAGTTAAGATTTTCAATGTGCCTCTGGAGAAAATTAGTTTTCATTAGAACAAGCAGCTTTTAAGATATAATCATTTTAAATATAGGATTTTCTTTATAATCGCTTTGTATTTGTTTTGATTATTTTCAATGCCTCTTGTACTTTACGTATATTAGTAAGAAGTTTTCGTAATATTTAAATATATCACAACTAATACTTGTAATCATTTACAGTTTTATCTATGTTATAAAGTTATATGTAAGGAACATCGGATGGAGCTAAGAAAGATGAGAAAACGACTAGCTTTTGGTCATTCTCAAAGGGATTAGAATATTAAAGTATTCTAAATCATTAGAAAACAATTGGAATGAGCGAGCACCTCTCTTGTTCAGCTGATACGGAGGTTACAAGATTCCCTATGATTTTGAAACGCTATATTCCGATATATGGGAAAACAGATATGCTAGGTCAGAAAATAAAGATACATGTTCGTCGTGAGTTGAGAAAGAAATATAAAATACAGGAGTTCAACGAAATAAAGAAGACAGGGAAATGTGAGAGAGAACAAGTAAACCGAGAGAGGCGAAGGAAGAAAGTAATATTCTGTCAGTAAGTGGATGGACAAATAAGAAGAAACGAAGTGTGAGTATAACACGATGGTAGCAAAGTGGTGTCAAAGCAGTCGCAACAATCTAAGTTATTTCATTATCGCCTTTATTAAGTAACTGGTTCTATTAATGATTTACTTTGTCTAAAATTTACTTGTGACGGGGTGATTAGGAGAAGATTTTTCTATATGGCAACATATCCATGGCTCTCAAATCTCAAGCTATAGCTTGAAGACAGATACAATTGGTGGTTAGGTGGCACAGATGTAGATCAATATTTTAGCTAAACTTAATCTCATAGGAACTCCATATCGTCCAATATATATTTTTTTTTAATTTAGCTTGTCTCTAATCACCCCCGATGATTAGACAAACATAAAAATTACCCGTAATCCCCTTTTCTCCAACACTGATTGTAAATGAGCAATCATATTATGGTTAAAAGCCATAACGGTTTACAAACGAGCATGCCACATTTCACATATTTAACAATACTAAACTGAAAATATCTATCAGACATCAGAGTTTTTTTAAAAGGACTTAAACTGATGTAAACTAAAGTTTTGCTTCACTGAAAGCTTAGAAACTAAAGTTAATATTATGTAGTAAAATTAAATGAAATAGATTTTGTTCCTAATTACCTTGTTTTACGGTAAAGAAAATTCATCCTTCTTGAGCATTCGTCGAAGGAACCAAAGTATTTTCTCACCTTTAATGCTAGTTATCTCAAACGCGAAAACAATAAACAGTTAACATTTATCGACCGTAGGATACATTACCTTTAATTATCAGGTTAACAGATATGCAACTATGTATTCATACATCTTGAGTAGCATTTCTGAACCTTCAGTCACGTTCAATTTCAGCTGGTGATTTTTTTAGTCTTATTTTGCTGAATTTGTTCTCTGTTGTATTTATATTCATTTAAAATACTTATCTAGACATAAACATTCCTATCACCAGTTAAAATTATTATAAGTTGACTGCTGTAAGTTGCTCTTTTTTTCTACTGCGTTTTTATTCGATGCTCTTTATCACAAAAAAGTGTTTCCTCGACTTTCAGTAAGCTTATTTCACTCAGTTCTTCAAATAAAAGAACTAATTTGTTTCAAACATTCCTGAAAGCGACCTCGTTTTTCTAAATGTACAATGTGTATATATGACAAACACTTTACGAATCTGAAGTGGCAGCAGTAGAATTTAATCCCGATTCTTCGAAGTTTGCCACATTACCAGCTTTTGTGAAAAAAAACAAAACAAAAAAAAACTTTAAAGGAATGACTCGCATACAAAGAGCTACATAATGTTAGAAAGGGGGATATTCCAGTTGTTGTCACTTGTTGTTTCTTACTGCTTACATTAAAACTACCGAAAGAATAAATCACAAGATAAGACGCCAAAATAGGTTTAACTCAAGTTAGGCCTAAGTAATGTGGTGTCACTTTTCCATGACATTTTTCATTCTCAAACTTTTACTTGTTTTAAAATGTAATTTGTTTTGTTTGTTATGAGCTAATTATTCTGAACAGTGTAAAGATTTGGTGCATTTGTGGAAAGAAAATATTCCCAAAAATTCAAACGTTTTGCCCTATCTTTCCTTTTTCTACTTCGTCAACATCTTGTATTTTTAAGATTCGACACACTTTCTCTTTTACGCTTGCCATATATACATTCACATGAGCACAGACGTTAAAAATATCTCTATATCTGTGATATAATCGTAAACACGAATTTTAAGTTTATGGTTGAATAACAAGAGTTTTGAGCCATTCTTGTATAAGAATGTATTATTAATAGATTTATAATTTTGACACTTTTAGTAATAACCATCGTTCCTATGAAGAAAGAAGGAGCTGTGAAGTAAATCAACGAAAATATTTTTTTTATGCAAAAAAGCTGCTTTGAAGACTCAACCTAATCGAAATTGGAACAACTAGTAAAAAAAAAAAGGAACAAAAAGAAATTCATCATATTAAGCTAAAATTATAGTTTAATGTTAGTAGAAGATAAAAAAATAAATAAAAAGATGAAAGCAAGGTACACTCACATTCAGAAAACGAAGTAACCTTTTTATCGTCCTTTTTCCCACTTCACACCTCGTCTTATTGTTGTATAGATGTTCTCAAAAATCTGAATTTCAAAGAGTAACTGCAGGCACGTTTGAAGAAATAAACATTATTACTGAAAACATATCTTTACCTTAAAAATACAATGGAAATATAAAAAAGCTGGTGAAGAAAAAATCAGCTTGCGATCTATACCACTAAAATATCACAAATACTACAAAAATTTACAAACTCGTTACCGAGACTTTCTTTTGAAGATATTTGATTTTTTTTAAATAGATCCCACGTGTTTAGAGGATTTCATTAAAAAGTTGCTTTTCAGACATAATAATAACTTTGTCGCTGTTTCAAATATTGTTTTCCAGTATATTTTATTCTAGTTAGGAATAGTTTGTCTTATACTTAGGTGCCCAAAGTATCTATATATCTATTCGTCCGTCTGTTTAACCAACTTATCTATCCATCTGTCTGTCTAGTCAATATATTTTTTCCGTCTGTCTGTCTAGTCAATATATTTTTCCCGTCTGTCTGTCTAGTCTATATCTACTTCACCACACACGTATCAGAAGCCTGGAAATTTTGTAGCAGCCTTACGAGCCAATTGTACATTGATAAAATGTCATAGACTTGGTTTTTATATATAAAACCCATTCAATACATGTTTCTACTGTCATAATTCCATTTGTATTTATAATTTCTTATCATGAAAATATGTTAAACCGTACATGTACACTGAATAAAGGTAGGTAGGTATTGAAGGTAGGAAAACAACTAATATTAATCTTGATAATCAGTTCTCATATATATTATATATATATTGATGCATTTTAATTTCTACGAAAGAAATTATTTGAAGTTAGGAACTCAGTGCAAAAATAATTTAGAATACTGCCATAGTAATAATTCTAAAACTGCTTACCTCTTCAAACACCTGTGTCAGTAGAAGCAGACTCTGCGCTGTATCAGTACAATAATATTTCAACAAATGTATTTCACTACAGATGTAAGTGTTATCCTTCCGTACTGGCCAGACAAAGTGAACGTGTTCATAGAATCACGATCTTACGCTCAGCAGAAACTTTCTTGGCCTGTAGTGTGCACGTGGCGGCAGACGACTGGACGAGCACGAACACATTGTGTACATAATGTCAGCTTAAAACGTTTTTCATAATTAATCCATGTCGTAACCGAACTTCTAATCTAATAAATCATGTATATTACCTACCCCATTTTAAGAAATCATATACGTGACACAAGCAGATAACTAATAGTATACGTTATATATCCAACTCATTTTTCATATGTATAAAATAATTTATCATATACGTGACTTAACGGTTAACTAATAATATGATTTACATAAATAACCATATGTGCAACATAAACATGCAACTCATCATATACTATACATGCCTGACTTATTATTCATGTACATTACATAACTAATTATTCTTCATATCAAAGTTGCGTAGTTTCAAAACTGCACAAACTATTATTTTTCTGAATGTGTTTACAATCATAATTCTTCAACATACGTTTTTATATCAAAATTCAAAAATTTATTTTCGCGGATGACGTTTTTTGCAAATATTTACAAACAGTTTTTTTTCCGTTCGTTTGAGTTATGTGATAAATGAATATAAGGTCTATAATTAGTAGCACAAAATTATTATTGTTTTGTGTATATACAGTTCATTGTTTATTTTACAATTTTGTTGTTTGTTGTTTTTTGCGGTAGTGGGTTACTGACTATATTTTTTTTTAGTTCCGTTGAAAAGTACAAAACTTAAAAACTAATTATAAATTCAAAACATGCCGTAGAAAAATGTTGCGTGGCCTCTGAACAAACAAACTAAAAACAGGTGTATGAACCCCATCATATTTGTGGTATTTTGTCCTTCAGTTTTACTTTATGCGTGCTGACAAGTTTGTATTGCGTCATTCCCAACCGCAGTTCAGGAGGGAAAGCAAAAACAGGTTATCGTTTTCAGTAATAATACATTTTACGTACATTCCTTGCGAGTGTACACAAACTTCAGCTCAACAGAAGCTATGTTTGGGATTTTTCATTCATTACCACTACTCTCTAGCTTTTTTTTTTCTTGTTAACGAGACCTTTGACAGCTACTAGAGGCTTGAGAATTTTACATGACAACACCAGAAGGAGAGATTGGATGCACATGAAAACATGTACCAAGAATCAAAATCATTAAGAAAAAAAAAAGCGGAATAATCATCACAAAGATGGAGAAGATGACGACGAAGAGAAGACAGTTGAAAAAAATAATTTCATATTGATAAATGAAAAATAAAGGTGCGAACTTTACAAGAACAAACAGCGAGAAGGTTTGTTTGTAATTAAGCACAAAGGTACACAATGGACTATCTGTGCTCTGCCCACCACGGGTATCGAAACCCGATTTCTACCAGTATAAGTCCACACACATACTGCTGTGCCACTAGGGAGAGCTATCGAAATAGTCTGAAGATACTATCTTTGGATTCACATTTCTTTAATCCGAGCGAACACCATAATTTTTAATCATATTTTTGTAAACTATCGATTGCTTGTGGATCTATAGAGTACACGAAAAAAAAATTTAAACAAAAATACCAAATTTATCCAACTAATTGCTGCAGGCGTATCAAATGTATTTTACTTAGAAATTGAATGATTTCACCAAATTTTTCGGTAGTTCTTTACACTGACTGTTATGAAAAGCGTGAAATAAAAATAAAATTACTTAGCATGATGCAATGTGTAGACCCCACCAATTGTACAAAAGTATGTAAACAAGTCGGAATTTGACGATTACGAAGGTGAACAGTTTGAAATAAAATTTTGTGAAACGACTGTATATTTTTGCTCTAAATTAATAAATAATCCATGTTTTGTTAACTATTAACTAGCTATAATGTTTTCATAATTAATGGAGCATAGGGATCAACAACTGAAATAAGTATCTAAGCCCATTCTCGACAGTTGTTTGTTTGTTTTTG